AGGCTATGGCGCTTTCTGTTAGGTACTTCCTTCCTATCTCATTTCTCTTTCCTCTAGCTCCTACTGCTTATCTGGGCCTTGCAGGAGCCTAGCCAAAAAAAAAAAAAAACCAAAAAAACAAAAACATGGAGCAGGAGTTTGGGGCTTCATAGCCCCTCTTTCCCACTCCCTTTTCTGCATCTTAAAATAGTCTCTGAAAGTGTAGGGTTATCAAAAGTGGGAAAGAAGGGAAGATTGAAGAGTATTGAGAAAGTTCAAGAAGTCCAACTCTTTCATGGGCTAGGATTTGAGTAAAACATAAAAACAGCCCTCAATATAGACTACTGTCACTAGGGTCTGGGTTTAGGTCTGCCAAGTAGTAATGATAATAATGGCCCCCAGTGCTATAGAAATTTAAGGTTTACAAAGCATTTGCCTTACAACAATCCAGTGAGTCGATTCTGTAAGCATTTTACCCCCATTTTACCAAATAGGAAATTGAGATTCAGATGGTTGAAGTGACTTTTTCTAAGATCAGGCTGCTAGTATGAGTCAGATTTCTTGCCTCTACTACACCACATTGTCTTCTATGGAACCCAAGCACTGCCATGTCTAGGCTCTGGTTGTCTTGTACCTATCCTGGCTTTCCAGAGGTTGGGATGATTCTACCAAGTCAAATGTTTGACTGCACTGCCAGTTCACCATGGGAGCATGACAGGTGTCAACCCCTATCCTATCTTCCTTCTCTTGAATTTTTCTCCCTCTCAAGTCTCATGGTCTCTACCCTATTCCTGGCCTCTCCACTTCCTACTTAAATACTATTAACAGTTCCCATTGTATCCAGCCTGTCCCCTCCGGTCCATGCTTAACTTGTTGCCAGACTAGTGTTCCTAAAGAATCACTTTGCACATATGACTCTCCTACTCCAGAATCATTGAGAGGTCCCCATGTCTACAAGATTAACTTTAAAGTCCTTGCCTGATGTTAAAATCACAGGGTAATCTAAGTGTACCCCACATATCTTTACTTCCCCCAGCCCCACAATCTCATCAACAGCTACTTTCAGCATGGTTGGTCTCCTTCTTGTCCCCATCTCTATTATTTTAGGCTCAGTCTTTCCCCTACATCTTCTAGAAACAGCCTCCTTTCACTTTTAATGGCTTTTATTCTGCCTTCTCAAACCCTAGCCATACATCAGAGCCCAGCTCAAATCCCTAGTACTGCCAGCTCAGACAGAGTCCTCAGAACTCTCTGAACTCTCACAGCCCTGACTCTTCTTCAAAGCCACAAATCTTAGCTTTGATTCCATGCTGACAGTGGGGAAAAAAATTAGAAAAGGAAAAGGCCTAATAGTCTGTTGAAAGATATCATTCTGTTGTGTTGTCTGTAGAGAAAGAAATGGCAGTTTCAAAAAGATAAACTGAGAAAGGCTAAAGATGAGAATAAAGGATGGAGGAATCTCAAAAGTTGAGAAGTTTTTCTGCTAATGTAGCATGATATGCACTGGCAGGAATACAGGACTTAGAGTCAGTAGACCAGGGCTCAATTTCTCTCAATATAAAATTAATGAGTTGTCTGCTGTTTCAGCTTTGTCAGTTAGTACCCGTGAGATTTTGAATTTTTGGAATGGTACAATAGGAAAAAGTAGTGACTTGGAAGTCAGATGGACTGAATTCTAAATTCTTTGTATGACCTTACTCAAATAATTTAACCTACCTCTGTCCATAAAATCCATAAAATAAGAAGGTTTACACTAGATAGACCCCTCGACATTCCCTTCCTATATCTATGATATTGTCGATTTCTCTTGGCCTCTGTTTCTCTTTTATTAAAAAAAAAATCAGATTGGAGTAGGTGATCTCTAAGGTCTCTTTTATCTCTGATAGCCAGTGATTTTGTTTGTCGTTGATGCAATCAATGACTGCAATTCAGGGACTATCCTTTCTATTCGGTACCAAGCTAGGTGAACACAATAGGAGCTCACAACTTTTTTAGAACAATACAGACTTTTTTGGGGGGGACCAGACAATTGGGGTTAAGTGACTTGCCCAGAGTCCCACAGCTAGTAAGTGTCAAGTGTCTGAGGCCCAATTTGAACTTAGGTCCTCCTGACTCCAGGGCCGGCACTCTATCCACTGTGCCACCTAGCTGCCCCAGAACAATATAGACTTTTAGAGCTGGAGAGAATCCTCACAGATCATCCAGCCTCATTTTCTCATTTTCCATCATTTACTAGACACTGCAACCAAATTGAATTTACTTGTCATCCATCCCCTGTTCTTATCTTGCTCTCACCCATCCACCCTTTTTCTCACATGGATCTCCAAGGGTTCCGACACCTACATTGAACTCTTCTTCATCCTGAAACCCCATCTCTTCCCATTGAAACCCCCATGTTTCTTCAAATCCTAGCTCAGGGACATTTCCACTATGGAAAAGCTACCTCGGCCCTTTCCAAAACTGTGCCCCATTACCTTACTGGAAGTGACTTTTTTCTTTCTCAAACTTAAATGGACCTCTCTTTTGACCGTATTACATTCTCCTTTGTATAGTATTTATCTGGGTACATGTTATATCATTCTGTTGGCTTGTAATTTTTTGGGGGGGGAAAGCCTCTGACTTTTTAAATTTTTGTGTTCCCAGTGCAAATCACAGGGCCTTGTACACATTCAATTAAGTTGAACAAGCATTTATTAATGCTAAAAAAAAATGCAGTTCCTACAATTGAAGAATTTATATTCTACATAGTAGGTGCTCAATGTTTGTTGAATTAAATACAGAAACTGATGCCCAGAAAGAAGTAACTTGTCCAGGATTATACAGGGAATTAGTGGCATAGAAATGATAAGAGCCTATTTATCCCAACTCAGCCCGCTACTTCTTTTCTTACACTCTTTGATTAATTAGTAGCTTGGCCCTGGGGTATTTCTCTGACCACTATAGGAAATTAATACATTTGTTGAAATATGAATTGAAGTGAATTGAGCAGAAATATGGTGGACTTCTAGGACGAGATAACGTATACATTGTTGAACATGGTTTCCATAGTAGACTTGTTTGTTTGTTTGTTTTGTAACAAAGGAAGGTTGGAAATGATTGATGTAAAGATGAACATCATCAATAAAATATGCCTTAAAAAAAAAAGCAGTTGAGCTCTCAGGATCTCAGGACTCCATCTTCAACTTGGAGAAAATAATTGCTTTGTAGTTTGAATTCACAGGCATAGTGAGCACTGAATGAGAACTGAAATGAGAACGATCTGGAGGATTTGGGGAAATAGAATGTACTTTGTCCATCCAAGATACCTTTACTGTCTTTTCTTTCTGCTATCGCTCTTGACCCAGAGAGGGAAGGGGTCTTGTCTAAGGTCACCTAGTGAAGCATGTAATATTGGAAACCAGAAGCCCAGATTTCCTACCCAGGACTGGTTTTCTTCAGAAAAAAAAGACGACTCCAGATGCAGCCTCTTCTAGGTAGCCCCACCAAGTACTTTTGTCCGGTTTTGACTATCGTCAGTAAAGGAAACACATACCCCCTGGTGGCCATAGACTTGGTTGCAGGCTACTTCCATGCCTGGGAAAAAGGAGGAAGAGAGAAAGGAAGAATGGAATAAGAAAAAAAGTGAAAGTGAAGAGGATAGAGAGAAAGGAGAAAGAAAGGTATGGGAAAGCAAGAGGGGTGGAAGAAAGTGGTTTCTTTACAAGAGCTATGTTAGGGATGTAGCAGCACAAACATTTGTTTACAGATGAGGAAGCTAAGGCTACTGATTTTTTTTTTAATGAGAAAAGGAGGACAATGATAATAGAAATGACAGGGGACAGTTATGGAGCATTTCATGCTTTACAAAGTGCTTCAAATATGCATGAGATTAACTGTTATATCACGCATTATGCATCTATATTATTGTGTTTACTTACAACCATCTTATGAGAAAATTAGCATAACTGTGATTATTCCCATTTAACAAAAGAGGAAACTGAGTCAGAGAGATAAAGTGAATTGTCACATAGCTGGTATGTACAATCATAGCCCTGGTAAATGTCAATACCAGTATTCAAATTCAGGTCTTCTGAATCCAAATCCACTTTCCACTCTGTCAGGCTGAGAATAACTGTTTAACACTCAAGCCAAATCCATCCACATCCACCTGGTTGGAGATGACTCCCCAGACAACTTTACCTCTGTTATTTTGATTACTTCTGAGAGTCCTACCTTGGGAAGAACATTGAGAACAAAGATGGATAGATGGAACCAGCGAAAGTTTAGCCAGGAAAAGAGAAGACTTGAGGTGGGTATGATAGCTATTTTAAGGCATCTGGCGGGCTGTCATTCCCAGTTCAGTTAGTGCCAGCATAGAGAGAAACATATACATAAGCTGGTTGAGTGAGGACTCTGTCTATATCATGGCCAGAATAATGGTGTTCTCAATCATGGAAATCATGCATAAGCAAGATTAGACTTATTTAACCTAGTCACAAGTGGGGAGTAATGGGAAGAATTTTTTTTTTCATTTTTTTGTTTATTTGTTTGTTTTCAGTCATATCCAACTATTTCTGACTGTATTTGGTGGTTTCTTGGCAAAGATAATGGAGTGGTTTGCCATTTCCTTCTCCAGCTCTATTTACAGATGACAAAACTGAGGCAAACAGAGTTAAGTAACTTTCTCAGGGTCACACAGTTAGTATCTAAAACTAGATTTGAATTCAGGAAGATGAGCCTTCTAATTCCAAGCAATATTAGAGCTATCCAAAAAGGGAATGAATTGTCTTGAAGTTAACATGTTTCCTATGTCTGAAAGTCTTTATGTAGAGTCTAAAAGATAACTTGTTGGGGATATTATAGAGGAGATCCAGGTTTGGGCATAGTTGAGGTAGACCTTCAAGGATCCTTCCAACTCTATGGTTTTGTTTTTGTTTTGTTTTTGTTTTGAACAATTGTATCCTGCTCTGTTGCAGATTGTCCTTGGGACCCATTTTCCCTTCATATAGTAATTTCCTTTTTTTTTCCTTCCAGACAGATCTCCATGCCCTCTTCCTGTATCCAAATGTTTTATTGAGGAGATTCTCCTGCTCCAAACTCCTTTGCATTCCTGACTCCAGACCCTTTAGAATTTACCGATATCCTTTGAAAATGTGGCTCCTAGAAGTGAACGTGATAATCTAGATATGCCAGATTTTCATTAAATGAACTGACATAGAAGTTGTTAAAAAAAAAATCTCTTGGCAATTTCTCTCTTTTCCTGGCCTGCTATGATTCTACTGACCACAGTCTCTACTCCATTCTTAATGCACCTTCCTCTGAGAGAGAAGATGGAGGATACTTTGGCGGATCTGCTTGGTCTTCACAGTGTAGATGACGGGGTTCATCACAGGAGGTGACAGCAGGTAGACATTGGCCATCACCACATGGACCAGCGGGGAGGCATGCCGAGCAAAGCGGTGGACCATTGACAGCCCTATCATAGGCACATAGAGAACAAGCACAGCCAGAATATGGGAAAGACAGCTGTTGAAGGCCTGAAGACGCTCAGCTGGGGAGGCAGCATGTAAGACACTGAACAATATCAGCGCATACGAGAAAACAATGAGGAGAGGGTCAAGCACATAGATGACAATGACCAGCCCAAAGCCATACCAGTTGTTGATTGTGGTGTCACCACAGACCAGGCGGATCATGTCCTGGTGGAGGCAATAGGAATGAGTGAGTATGTGGGAGTTGCAAAAGGGTAACCGCTTGAGCAGGAAGAGAGGGGGCAAGACTGCTACAACACAGCGGATAATAATGGCCATCCCAATCCTCCTGACAACTGCATCTGTGAGGATAGAGGCATAGTGGAGAGGGCGGCAGATGGCAACATAGCGATCAAAGGCCATGGCCAGAAGGACCGAAGACTCCATGAAGGAGAAGCCATGGAGGAAGAAAAATTGGACACAACAGGCTTCCAAGCTGATCTTGCGGGCATTGAACCAGAGGAGGCGCATGACTGTGGGCAGTGTAGTGAGGGTCAGACCTAGGTCAGTTAGTGTTAGCATAGAAAGAAACATGTACATGGGCTGGTGGAGTGAGGGCTCTGTCCAAATGACAGCCAGGATGGTGGTGTTGCCAATCAAAGAAATCATGTATAAGCAGAAGAAGGGGATGGAGATCCAGATGTGCACTGCCTCAAACCCTGGGATTCCCGTAAGGATGAAATAGAAGGATTCTTCAGTGGTGTTAGTGTTGGCTGACATGACAGTTGAATGTAGCTCCAGGGCAGGTGTCTCTCTACAAACGAATAGACAGTGTCTTATTTTGAAGAGAATTTTTGAGTGCTATAATTTTTCTGTTTACAAAATAATATACTCCATGTATATAATTATAAGGCTTTGAGAAACATTCACTTATTCCTCTTTCTATCATTCCCCTCGTAATATCTGAGTAACACATCATCACAGAGAACCTGTAGAGGGGGGCAGAGATGGTAAACCAGATAACTTATCATTGAGCTCAGGGCATATCAGGCATCTTGCCTCTGCATGGGACCCAAGAGCAAGGAGGATCATACAGAAACATAAAAGACCAAAGAGGACCTTAGACTATGAAAAAGGATGAGACAGGGACACAGAGAAGGCTGTCAGATGGAGCTGGGGTGATATAGGCACTATACAAGAAAAGGATTATGGAAGGTTTTTGTTGTTTTGTTTTATTTTTTTTTAATATGAAGATCACAGGATTATTTTTAGAGAAATGAGAAGTTGACAACAATATAGTGACTGATAATACATGAGAGAGGATTTATGGGGCAGCTAGATAGCAGAGCAGAGAGAAGACTGGTCTTAGTGTTAGAGTAGAGCTGAGTTTAGGTCCTGCCTCAGATATAGCTGTGTGATCTTAGACAAGTCATTTAATCTCTCAGCCTCAGTTTCTTCATCTGTAAAATGGAGATAATAGTACCTAACTCACAGGGTTGTTGGAGGCCTCAGTGAGATAACCTATATAAAGCACTTAGCAAAACTTAAAACACAATATAATGCAGATTGGCTATTGTGATGAGACATTCTTTCCTCTTGCCAAAGGTGATGTACTATGGGGTAAAATAACCCTGATTGCTTTGCTTGCTTCTTTCACTTTGCTTTTTGTTGTTTTTATTGTTACGATAACATGGGGCTGAAGCTTATTGGGAAATGACTAGAGTTTTGTGGTTGTTGTTTTATATTGTGATTCTCAGATTCTGTTTTTTTAGGGGAAAAAAAAAACAACCTGTACTAAATGGAGAAGGAATTTTTCAGCACCTTGTACAGAAGAGAAGAGGAAAAGCAAGACCCAGTCCAGGGCAAGATAGAAAAGAATCACTGGAGCCCAGGAATATGAGAGGAGCTAGGACCATCTGTGAGTGGGAACACAGGAGGAATACAGAGGGAATGAGCCTTCCCTGCCTGTCCTTCTACCCACAGTATAGATCCAACAAAATTTACCTTTGGAAGGTCAAACTAATTCTGAGTGATCTTTTGTTCTACATGCTGTAAAGGGGTAAACGGTTTGTAGATGGTCCCTGAGGTCCCTTCCAACTCTGAAATTCTCTAAGTTGGTGATTTATGCCTGACAAAAATGGAGGCAGGATAGCAGAATGTGGTATACTCTGGCTCTGGGGTGAGGGGACCCTCGTTTATAGTGTAATTCTGCTACTTCCTAGCTATGTGACCTTGGGCCTACTGAGACTCAGTTTCCTCATCTATAAAACGAGGAAATTGGATAAAGAAGGCCTCTGAGGTCCCTTCCAACTCCCTATGAGGCTAAGAAAGGCTCCTGAAGTCAACTCCACATCTACCTAGACAAGTAGTCTGTACCCCTGGAGTTTTCAGATTCTTTTATTCTTTTATTCAGCCTGAAATATTATCATCAACAGGTAGTATGGGGAAGGCCAGAGTGACCTTCCTTGAGCTCACTCCAAAAACATTCCAAAGGTCAATCCCCTGAGAGCACACCATTCTTGTAGTGCCCCAGGCTTACAACCCACTTGCCATCCTTGACACTTTACCTATTCAGTTATCAAATCCCGTCATTTACCTTCATAACATCTCTCCAATACTTCCGCTTTGACATTGCCACCACCTGGTTCAGGCCCTCATCACCTCATGCCTGGTCTGATCATTACAATGGTCTGTTTCTTGATCTCTGTCTCCAGTGTCTCTTCATTCAAGTCCATCCTACACTCAGCAGTCAAATTGATCTTCTCCAAACACATCTGACCATATTACCCCTCTTTTCAATAAATCCAAATGGCTCTTACCTTTAAAATCCTCTGTTAAGGTTTTACAGCCTACCCTAACCTAGCCCCTTCATACTTTTCCAAGTCTTCTTATACCTTACTCCTCTCCACATACTCTGATTGAGTGCCATTGGCTTCCTTACTCTTAATTAAACTTAACACTCCATCTCCCCACCCAGCATTTTCACTAGCCCTCCCTCACACCTGGAACACTTTCTCTGCTCATTTTCCCTCCCATCTTCTTTGGTTTTCTTCATGTCTCACTTTCTGCAGAAAGTCTTTCCCACCCCTCCTCAATCTTAATGCCTTCCCTCTGAGATTACCCCCTGTAGATATCTTAATGGTGGATAGCTGTTTGTATGTTGTTCTCTTTCTCCCTCCCCCCACCATTAAACTCATTAAATTCTTCACAGTAGGGACTGGTTTTTGTGTGTTTGTTTGTTTTTTGTTGTTGTTTTTCCCTTTCTTTGTGTCCTCAGCATTTAGTGCAGTGCCTGGAAACTGTAGATCCTTAATAAATTTTAGGCGAATGACTGATAGTTAATGAATTATGTGGTAGTCATCTAAGAACCATTTAATTCTTTCCAGATGTTGGTTCTGTTTCTGACCTGAGTTACCTCTTATGAAATTAGTTACTTCTGTAGGCCAGAAGTTCTTAACCGGGGATCTGTGATTTTATATATATATGTGTGTATATATATTATATATATATATGTATTATATATATGAATATATATATAATTAAATTTTTTGACAAGACAATCAGCATTGTGACTTGCCCTGTGTCACAAAGCTATTAAGTGTGTGTCAAGTGTCTGAAGCCAGATTTGAACTCAGATACTCCAACTCCAAGGCTAGTGCTCTACCCACTCTACCACCTAGCTACTCTGCTAATTGAATTTCAATATAATTGGTTGCCTTTTTAATGCTATGTATTTTATTTTATACATTTAAAAACACACTTTCTAGAAGGGGACCATAGGTGATACCAGACTGCCAAAGGGATGATCCAGGGACAAAAACAGTCAAGAATCCCTATTTCAGCCCATAGTAAATTTAACCATTTCCAATATCAGATGAGATCATGGTTGATAGAACATATCTGTATGCCACGTTTCCAACCCCCTCAGAAGTTTGCATATTTATTCTGTCCTCACCAAACCTCCATTTTTACAGAGAAGTTTCTTCAAAGTGTCAGTTTGAACTCACACACTATTCCCATTCCATGAATCTTCCTAGTCCCCCTACTTGAGGCTTTCTTCAGGTACCTTACCTGTTAGGTTCTCCTTTTTCTGCCTCAAACAGGCTCTCTCTCTCACA